CACCTCTACAATTACTCAAACCTAACTCAAGGACATCTGTCGTGTCCTCTTTCGAAACTAAATATCTGGTCAACTATATTTAATATACAAATCACTACTATACTTTCTATATACCTTTTGTTTTATTCACTATATAACATTACAAACAGAAACCCCAATAATAACAGTTATGTCTTTTTTTTAAAATAGCTGTTTCATGCCTCTGGAATTACTCAGACCTAACTCAAGGACATCTGTTGTCTCCTCATTTGAAACGAAATATCAGCTCAACTCTATTTAATATACAAATCACTACAATACTTTCTATGTACCATTTGTTTTATTCACTATATAACATTACAAACTGCATCATTACCAGGTCTTTATTTGTTAGATTCATCTTTCAATGGCGAGAATAGGTGTACCCCCTGGTGATCTTTGACCTGAGAGAGGAATTTACACCTGTTGCGGGAGGGGGAGTGAAGGGGGTGAGATGGGGGCGGGACAACGCTTCTGATTGGATAACCTTTCACCTAGAACTGTCAAATCCAGTTTGATGAAAGCCAGTATCTATACTGTGTGTTACATTGTTTGAGATTTGCTGCTACTGTGTAAAGGGAAAGGGAATGCTTCTGTTAAAAAGTACCTTATTTGTTTAAAGTGTTTGCAAACCAAATATTATTGCACCTTTGTTCATATAGTAGTACTTAAAAATACAAGCGCACAATACACTACTTTTGAATTCATTATTGAATGCTGCTCATATCAATGCAGTTAATCGCAGTTAACTCAGAAAAATCATGCAGTTAACACGATTAAGGATTTTAATCATTGCCCAGCACTAATATTTATTTAGATTATTATGCAGATGATTATACATGTTGATTGAAACATGGAGACAAAAAAGCAGTTCACTTACTGATGCTCGTTTGACCGCATGTGAAGAACACTGGTTTCACTGACAAAACCTGTGGCAACACAGGAGAAACAGATTAATATAAACCAGGGGTTTTCAGGCAGTGGTCTGCAAGGCCCCTGATAGTCTGGGAAGACATTACAGAAGGGCCCTGACCATGCATTCAATAATGTAGTTTCACTGTGGGAATCACTATTTTAAACACATTTTCATGTATTGTTTTGAGTAATCAAATTCATGCAAATATATAAAATTTTGAACAGCCAAAACTGACTTTCTGGATTAAAATACTGCCCCTCTAGTCTGTCCACCACACAACAGTGGTCCACAGGTTGCTTCTTAAATACAGTGGTGGTCCCTGGGTCACAATCAGTTGAAAACCCCTGCTCTAAACCTACAATTCAAACCTGTGTACCTCACAGTTCCTTTTTTCAGTTCTGAAATAAAGAACTAGTGCATAATTTATAACTGCTATCTGATGAACCGATCAGGGAAACTAAGTGAATGAGTAGCTTACTTGTTCCTCGGTCAGTGAAGATGGCACTGACTCCCCCATCAAAAGTTAGGTTAACACTGACACCTAGATCACAGGACAAAGGACAGAGTGAGGGGAGTAAAAAGCCAATAAGAGTAAACAAGCATAAAGATTCAGAGAACCCATAATTTCAGCTCAGTCCATGGTCTGTAATCCACCACTGGTATGTGTTAGCCATAGCAAGCTTGTTAGGCTAATAACTCATCACCAGCTATACAGATGTGGCTGTATCATAGTGTGTGTTACTTGAAAACAACCAGCACTGAATATCAGGTGTGTGATGTGAGATGTGTTGTAGAGATTGGAACAGCTTATACCTTTTGGTGTGCTGATGGCTCTGTCATTTACAGCTCCTTTAGGCATCTCTGGAGACAAAGACACAAAACAGGCTGTCACTATGTCCTATTGCTGTCACTGCCTACTGATGTTGGCAGGCTGTCACTGCCTACTGATGTTGAATGGAAAACTGTCAGTTTAAGTGTCATATTTGGAAGAACCAAATCTTCTATGTTGTTTTCATAACTTAAAACAATGGTGCATTAAATAAAGCCATCTTCACGCACCACCTCAGCACTGGTAAAAGCTATGGCCGGAGACATTATGTTTTCAGGTTATCCGTCTGTCCCATTCTCGTGAATGAGATATCTCAGGAACGTCTTGAGGGAATTTCTTCAAATTTGGCACAAACGTCCACTTGGACCCAAGTATGAACTGATTAGATGTTGGTGAAGAAAGGTCAAGGTCATAGTGACCATACATTCCCATCTGTCACAAAGTTGACTATTTCTGCTCCAGCACACTGACGGGAGACCGCTGTGCAGTAGACATATCTACTATGTGCAGATATTATTGCAAAACATACATGGTATATATCCAATTGCAAAGGATGCAAAAAAAAACGTGAAGTACCTCTAATAAAACCCTGGAGGATGGGAGTAGCAAAACCTGATTAATGGAACGAAACTCAGAAGGCTGAGAGCTGGTTTATAGTCACAGTGACCTTATGTCTGCCCCATTCTTGTGAATGTGATATCTCAGGAACACCTTGGGGGAACCTCTTCAAATTTGGCACAAATGTCAATTTCGACTCAAGAACGAAGTAGTAGATTTTGGTGGTCAAAGATCAAGATGACTGCATCCTCATGTCTGTTCCATTTCATTGCCTTTTTCCTGTTTAAGGAGTCTGGGTCATAGGAGCCTTCGATAGCAACTCTCCCCATTAAGATTTAGGGGATGTTTCTACAAAGAATATTTACTGTAGCTTTAAAAAGCACTGTAAGTCTACTTTTTTAATATAAAATACAGGTTTTCATATTCTTGCTATGTGACATCTAAAAAATATGCTGCATTTTCCACAGGGCAATAATTATCCATTTTCAAATTAAAATGTTCCGTGACAGAAATCTGCCAGTGTCTAAGACAGGTGCTCAAACAGCATCATCCTTGAACTCACAGAAATATTTTTTGTATGAGTGCTGTGACCTCTGACACTTGAGCTCCTAACTAGGGCTGGTTGATATGGCCAAAAATATAATCACAATTATTTTTCTTAACATTGACTTATAGTTATCAATACATGCGCTTAATAGCATTAAGGACAGGGGGCAACACATTAAACATGTTTCTTAGACTTCAAGCTTACACACAATGCATTATGCTGAACACCACTGAAAGTAAAAATATCTCCCGAGTGTACCTTTTAATTTGAAAGGGTTGATTTTAATGCCGAATTACATAATTTATGGTTCTAAACTGTCATTTATTTTTGAAGAATAACTTCACAGTATCCTAAATCAGCATGGTGTGACATTTATACTTAATAGGTTCATGTAAGACAGCCTGCAACTAGAATAGACTAGCCACCTACAGTGCTGACAAAGTGTGTAAAAGTTGATCCAATTTTCTCCTATATTCTGCATAAAGTTGAGGTAGCACTGTTCAGGAAAAATGTTTCTATTCAAAGACTTTATAGCTAGAGTCAACCACTTTCATGAACTTTTGAAACCTGCTTTTGCCCCCATTCTTTCATCAAGTATTCTTCCATAAAATACACCATTACATTTGTCATGTCTTATCACACAGGGTAATGACTGAGAAGTCAGACAGAAGTGACTGCTCCTGTATCCCGATGGGGTAATTGTTCTGATGAGGGCGGACCCAAATGCAGAGCAGTTACTCATATATCATTGTAATCAGGGGACTTTTTAAAATACATATTCACAATCTTTTAATCACCTAGCCCTCCTCATGGTTACAACCTCTTCCACTGCTACACTTAGTGGAATTTGTGTCAGGTTTTTTTAAATATTGAAATAACCTCCAGGAATTGTACCTGTTCCTTCCAGAGCAAGCGAGTTAGACTGGATACATTCCTCCTGCCTGGATCTGTGCACCAGCCTGATAAAGCACAAACACACATTATTGCCTTTTTTCCCCACTAGATACCATGTAGATGCAGTCATGCATGTATACCATACTGAAAAAGGAAATCAGAAGAATCCCACAACTCATACACAAAACACATTGAGCAATCCTGGTGACCTAGGGGAGTTGCCTACCATACAACTGTGTCCCTTGAATTAGCCCTTCCCCCTCTCTCTGTGCCAGTTCCTGTTTGCATCTGGACTCTGAACTATCCAATATATGCCTAAAAATAATGTCTGTAGTCCTGTAGCTGAATAGAACACTGAAGGCTGGATTAAATTTGTACAAAGTGTTAATGGTTCACTCTAGGGATGGTCCATTACCAACGGCTGACAAACATCATGATGGGGAGTTGGCATAAAGACTTACTGCAAAACTGAGAATTAAAACTTACAGGGCTAACTTTTCTGTTCTCTGCTGTACCTACTGTATTTTAAACAAATAACTCCTAATTGTTAACAATAGTTTGGGCACAGCAGTGTCAGTGGCCAGTCTTGTTCGCAAAGCTCAGTGGAGAAATTGTTCATGCAGCTTCTGCTGATTGTTTAACTGATAACAAGCCAAAATGAAATTAAGTTCCCCCTGAATATCATCATCCATCACAATGATTCAAATGATTCACTGTTGACATCATCATATGCCAATTCCATAGACATTGCCTAACTCTAGTTTACCCAGAAATATGTAATGATCACTGGACATATGAACATACTGTACATCATCAATCAAATGCAAACAACATTCTGAGCCCCAGATGTTGATCAAAGATGCAGATGTTTGTAATGAAAACCTACCCATCAGTGTGCGGCGGTCTAGGAGATAGGCGATTTGGATGTGGTGGCTGCGGGGTTGCAAAGCTAAATGGAAGAAAGGGCCTGGACTTCACAGATACCTGAACTGAACCCTGAGGAGAGATCCAAATCATCATGATGCCTTCACTGACTGGGGCAAACTTAGGAGACACTGCCCTGCACATCATTAACAAAAACGCAAATTTCATAAAAAAAAAAATAAATAAATAAAAGAAAAAAAAAAAAAAAACTTTATCAATAGAAAATACTGCTTAGAGAAACAAATTACACATTGGTTATTGTATTATTTAGAGACTAGTGTATATAATAGTGTAGCTGCCTCATTTGCAGGTCATGGCTTCTCTAACTGGATAAGAATCCAAAACATCATAAAAGCACCCAAGAACAGAGGATAAGGAAACTGTGATCTCAACCTAATGTAGCATCTATGGAAAAAGCTAAATGAGAAGGTACCCTTCAAACCTGAGAGAAGTGGATTACTTTGTTCAAAAAGATTTGCCAGACCCTCAGTTGAGACATGTAGAAGTCACATTAAGAGCTTCCAAAAGCACTTGATTGCAGTTATTGCCTTAAAAGGGTGTGCTATAAAATATTAGGTTAAGAGTCCCAAAATAACATCTCTGCTGTATTTAATATAGAACAGAGATTAGTGGATGCCAAATAGTACTTACTCATTTTCAACATATTTCAGAGAAAATTCAGTTTTTTAAGTAGAAGACTATTCTGACCTGTGCAGTTGTAGTCTTGGCATCTCCTGTCAGGCTGTGGTTGTCCATCTGTTCCCTCATCTCTCCGTCTTTCTCAGCCGTCTTCAGAGCAAACTCCACCTCAGCTGCCAGCTGTGCATCTCCTGAGAAAAACTCCTTCACTTCATTACGGTAGTCCTGCATTGTCACCTGATGGGATTAATGGCATTATGTCATGCACGGAGTACTGTCACACAAAGGCTGGGTGTACTTACCTCAGGGTCATGCATAATTCAAACTCTCACTTTTAATGACTGAACATTCCCTCAGCCTGGAATTACACATTTGCTGAAGAAACAAGGTTAGGGTCAGCCAGAGGTAGGGATGGGTACCAAAAGGTTCCTATACAGTCGGTATCTACTGGACTGAATTACGATGCAGATTTCGGTGCCTTATTTCAGTGCCACTTAAATGCCTGTTAAATTAAATAGCAGCAGACGTCTTTACTGCTCCTCTTGTCTGTTCTACGATTTTTCACATCTTCTACATTTTCAAGTCTTTGAACAAATTCTACAACTATTAAAATGCCTCCAAGAGGGAAAAGAGCTAATAAATCAGATGCAAATGAGGATGTTGACGCAGAAGAGGATTATATTTCAGCGGCGCAAGTAACAGAGATGTTGAGTCAGCAGAAGCAGATGTACACCGCACTGTTGAGCCAACAACAAGATAACTTCAAAGGTTTTGTGCAACTACTTATGGAGACAAATAACAAGAGACTCGACGACATGACCAGAGAAATACAGGAGATAAAAACGAGTTTGCAGTTTACCCAGCGAGATGTGGATGTGATTAAAGCAGCCATGGGTGAACA